AGGCAGCACTCCTCATGGCCTCTGCATCATACCCTGCCTCCAGGCTTCAGCCCTGCTTGAGTTCCTGTCCTGACTTTCTCCCTTTCTCCAGTGTTGTACTATAATTGAGAAGTGCAAGTCAAATACACTCTTTCCTCCCCAAGTTGCTTTTGGTCATGGTGTTTCATCAATAGAGTTACAGCAATAGTAACTCTAAGTCCATGGCTAATATCTTTCATCCCAGTGTTTGGGAGGTAGAGGCGGGTGCATCTCAGAGTGTGAGACCATCCATCCTGGTTTAGATAGCCAGAGCTACACAGAGAGAGCCTATCTAAAAAAAAAAAAAAAAAAAAAAAGTGGCATTTGGCCAAATCTCTTGCAATATTATTTGGTTCCTGATACAGATGATAAAGAAGGAGAAGAAGAGGGTGATGATGATGGAGTGCATGACGATGATAGAGTATGGGGAGACATCGCTGAAGAAGGGAGTAAGGATGAAGGTTAAAAAGAGATTAATACAGGGGAGGAGGAATGAGAGGTGGATGAAAGGAAAGATGGCTAATACAACAGACTACTAAACCAGGTGATGGTGACTAAGGCCCTTAATCCTAGCGCTTGGGAGGCAGACACAGAGGCAGATCTCTCTGAGTTCAAGGCCAGCCTGATCTACAGAGTGAGTTCTGTGGAGCTACACAGAAAAACAAAAGCAAAAAGAATACTGTTGGATTCTAGGCTCCTTTAAGTTCTTTTCTTGTTTTTCTATAATTTTCTCTAGTCTGAGGTGCAAGTTGTGGTCATTTTCCACCTGTCCCTCGTGTCCTCAGTTCCTGGGCTCTCTCTTCTAAAGATAATGGTCCTCTACTTAATGGAGGGAAAGATCTTGGGCAATATCTTGTTCCAGGCCAGCAATGGCTTTACAGTGAGACCCTGTCTCAAAAAAAAAAAAATGAGAATATAAGCTGAGTTCCAGGACAGTCATGGCTACACAAAGAAACACCGTCTTGAAAAGCAAACAAACAAACAAACAAAAGGGGTGGGGAGAAAGAGAGAGAGAGAATATAAGCTGAACATGAGACACAGGTCTATAATTCCAACTACTCTGGAGGCTGAAGCAGGAAGATCACAAGTTTAAGTCCTGCCTTGGTCACAGAGTGAGTTCAAGGTCATATGGGCAGCTCATGGGGTAAATTAGGCAAGACCTTGTCTTTGATGGGTTGCACAAAGCAGGTTGAAGTTCACCAACACAAGGGGTGAAACTGAAGGGGGCAACCAGGAACCCTGGACAGATAAGTGTTACTAAAATGTGAAGTGTAAGAGACCAGATGGGGGGACAGGGACCTGGAGCATGGCTAAGTGGTTGAGAGCACCGTCTGCTTCTTCCAGAGGTCCTGAGTTCAGTTCCCAGCACCCACACGGTGGCTCGCAACCGTCTATGACGGTATCTGATACTGTCTTCTGGCATGCAGGCGTACATGCAGACAGGGTATCCACTCACACACTAACTAACTAACTAAATCTTGTTGTATAACTGTTTTTGAAAGGATTAGAAAGTGGGCCTTTGCTGGAGGAGGTGTGTCACTGGGGGTGGGCTTGGCAGTTCCAAAAGCTTACACCAGGTCTGGTCTCTCATTCTCCACCTCCAACTTGTGGTCAGATGTGGGCGCTTGGCCACTGTGGGTTCTCATGCCTGCTGCCAGGCTCCCCCATGATAGTTATGGACTCACCTTGGAGCGGTAAGCAAGTCCCTACCTAAACGCTTTCTTTTATAGGTTACCTTGGTCACAGTGCCTCTTCCTAGCAATAGAACAGTGACTAAGACAGGAGCTTAGATTTTATTCTACAAGAACCAGAGCGGCCAGCACAGAGTTCCAATGCTTTAACCGCAGCAATGTGAGGCTGCGGTTAAAGCAGTTAGAAGCTCCTGCGGTATCATTAAGTCAAAGGCAGACCTTGGGGAACCTGTCTCAACAGTCCAGGCGGAGTCAACAGAACTTCGTGATTAAATCTGGGTGCCTGGGAAAGAGATGAAATAAGGTCACGCTTTCTTCTACTTGGTACAGTGGTTGGAGCTGTAACCAAAAGGACTGTTCCTACCAACAGAGAGACAGAGCTAGAGAATTCCTCCCACTGTCTTCCCTATGTTGGTTGATGGCAATACCAACTCCCCAATGATCAGGACTCAAAGCCTTAGACACATCTTGGCTCTTTTCTTTTGAATTCCACTGTTTTGTTTTGTTTTGCTTTTGGTTCCATCTCCAGATGAATCTAGAACCTTGCTCTAGAACTCCATCACATTAGCTCTTCTGCTGTCACTCAGATCCAAATCAACCATTTCCTGGGCGAACAGAGGCTCCCCAGCAGTCTTCCTGTGATCCGACTTTACCAGTTAGCTCATGGCCCTGCTTTGGCTTGAAGTCAGGCCACACTTTCCCATTTCTCTCAGTAACTTCCACATTTCCGCAGTGCTGTGCAAAGCTCTCCAAGATCCGTTTCCATCATTCTCTTCATATTTTTCCGTGTCTTATTTGATTTTTTTTATGTGTATGAGTGTTTGCCCGCCTTCGTATGTGTGCACTACATATTTGCCTGAGGCCCACGGAGCCAAAAGAGAGTGTGTCAGTGTGTTGGTGCCCCTGGAACTGGAGTCACAGTGTTATGCCCAGTTTGTGAGACCCCCAAAGACCACCAGGAACTGACTCCGCTGCAAATACATGAGTATCTTTTACTGTATATGTGCTCGAGCCCGGGCTGAAAACTTCCTGTGGAAGCAGGAGAGGAATACAGCCCCATGGTCTAAGGGAACAAGGTTTTTAAAGGAAAATAAAACAAACAAACGAACAAACAAACAAAACCGCAAGCAGGGAGTTACATGTCTTGGCATTGGCATTACATAATTGGATAAAGGAAACTGACTTTTGAAATGATTGGTTTACTTTAGGCCCCAAGACCACAAACTGTTGTGGCCTGGCCATCTGGGCTGGTTTCCTAGCAACTGTATCTCTAGTGGGCAGGGTCCCCCTCACTGCCTGCAGGCCGCTGGACATGTCTCCACCCGGCTAGCCTTCATTCAGGCTTGTGCTTTAAACTTTAAACCAATACCCAAAGTTGTTTGGTCTCTTAACAGAGATTGTGAAGTGCTGTGTGTGTTGGAAACAGAACCAGATCATCTGCAAGAGGAATAATGTTTTTTGTTTTTGTTTTTGTTTTTTTCTTTCTGTTTTCAAGACAGGGTTTCTCTGTATAGCTTTGGCTGTCCTGGACTCGCTCTGTAGATCAGGTTGGCCTCAAACTCAGAGACCTGCTTGCCTCTGCCTCCCCAAGTGCTGGGATTACAGGCATGCACCGCCACTTTGCCCATCTGGAGCAAGGCTCTTAACACAGTGGTTCTCAAACTCCCTAACACTGCAACCCTTTAATACAACTCCTCTTGTTGCAGTGACCCTCAACCATAAAGATTCTTTTCTTTTTTTTTCTTTTTTTGAGTTGGGGAATGGCAGGGTAGCACAAGATGGCTTCAAACTCCCAACAACTCTCCTTGCTCTGCCTCCCACCAGTGGGACTTCACATCCCACTGTTCTGAACGTCATTATTCTTTCAAAATCATTTCTCATTGTCATTGTGTTTAGTTACTTCTTGCCCCATCTACTCACCCTTCATTGACTCGCTCAGGCACAACTGGTTTCCTTGCTAGTCATATGCTTCCTTAGTTCCTTCCTTAGGCCTTGTAACTGAACTAAATTTAAATTTTACCGTTATTGCTTATATGAATACATGATGGAATTGGTTCTCTCCTTCCATCTTTACAGTGGTCTGGCTTATGTGGCAAGCACTTTACTCTTAGAGTGTACACTTTACACTTTACTCATCTCTGTAACAGCCATGGCTGTCCTGAAACTCCCTCTGTGGACCAGAGCTGGCTTATGCCACCACCACCCAGCTTGATTTTTCTGGCCATCTGCATGTATGTCCAAAGGCCAGAAGAGAGCACCAGATCTCATCTCATTATAGATGGTTATGAGCCGCCAGTTGGTTGCTGGAAATTGAACTTAGGACCTTTGGAAGAACAGCAAGTGCTCTTAACTTCTGAGCCAGTTCTCCAGACTCATCTGGCCATGACACACAAATAGAAACGAAAAAAGAAATTTCTCAAGCCGGGCATGGTGTTGCATGCCTGTAATCCCAGCACTCAAGGAGGCAGAAGCAGGTGGCTTGGTGTGAATTTGAGACCAGCCTGGTCTACAAAGTGAGTTCAGGACAACCAAAGCTACACAGAGAAACCCTGTCTCGAAAAACCAAATAAATAAAAACATTTTTAAAAAGTGTTGTTTTGCTGGGCGTGTTGGGACACGCCTGTAATCCCAGCACTTGGGGAGGTAGAGGCAGGCGCATTTCTCTGGGTTCAAGGCCAGCCTGGCCTACAGAGCGAATCCAGGACAGCCAAGGCTACACAGAGAAATTCTGTGTCGGAAAAAAAAAAAAAAAAAAAAGTATTGTTTCTTCACTTTGAAAAAAACAAACTAAAACAAGAGAATGTTATGGCACCAAACCCAGTCGATCTGTAGCGCTTCATTTAATTGTTCCACAGCCAAATGAAACCATTCTGAGCTTGCTTTTGCCCCATCTCTGTTTGTTCTTTGGGAACCCTTACAGAACTATTTATTTTCACGTATGTATTTATCTGTTCGGGGAAAGGATCTCATGGGTGGCTTAGTCTGACGTCGAAATCGCGTTACCAGCGAGTACCACCACGCCCGGAGCAAGAATTATTTTTGAATTCTTGGCATCCAGAGAGGTGCTTGGCAACGGAGCTCAAAAGAAGCTGCTGAGCGAATTTAAAAATGACAGAAAAAACAATGTGTCTGTATCTCCAACTACTTCCCAGGCCGCTGGAAGTAATTCAACCAGTGCTTTCACGGCCCAGGCTGTTGCAAAGAGGCTCAGGATTTGCACGTCACACAGCTGCGCCCGGGGGAAGGAGGCGGGCAGCAGAGGGTGTGGTCACATGGCGGGGTGGGCGGGGCCTGCAGTTCATATCCCAGCGTTCCTTGTGCCCACTTCCTTTCTGACTCTTTCCGGGCGCTCAAGATGTCGAAGCGAGGTGAGACTTCTGGGTTTGGGGATCCGCTGGCATCCGCCGCGCAGGGTGGCGGGCCTGTTCGGTGGCGGCGGGCCCGGGCTGCGGCGGGGCTTTGCAGTCCTCGGGCGGGAGAGCGGGAGGCCGGGCGCCGCAGAGGCCCTGGGGGAGCCCGGGGAGAGGAGGGCGGCGGAGCCGGGGCCGCCCGTGGGCTCGCCCCGCGCACGCGCTGCAGCACTGCTGGGCCGCCTGCCTTCCACCGCTTTGGGCGACCCCTGCGCTCCCCCGCCTTGCCGCATAGATAAAAGTGGAGAGGAGGTTGGGGCCGTCCGGTCTCCCTAACCTCGACAGGAGAATGGTAATGACGGGGACGGCCAGGTTCTGGGACAACTGGGTGGTAATCAGAGAGAGGCAAACACTGGCCGCCGTAATCTGGTTTCTCTTCCTCCCCGCAGGACGTGGTGGGTCCTCCGGAGCGAAATTCCGGATTTCCCTGGGTCTCCCGGTAGGAGCTGTGATCAACTGTGCTGACAACACAGGTGAGGTTTTCGGCAGGACCCTGCCGCGGCCCCCCTTTTAAAAGCACTCCGTGGGCCTTTGTGCCAGTGGCCCACTGAGCCGTCAAGAAGGGGCAGAGTGAAAACACCGCTTTTGGGTGAAGTGGCAACACGTGTTGTTCGCTTCAATCGGTGTTGTGACATGGAAAGATTGCTTGCATGCGCGGTGTGAGGGGTCTTGGAAAACACTTTTAAAGATCGCTGGTTTTGTTCCAATTGGCTTCTTGAGATGGAGTTACTCGTTGTATAGCCCAGGCTGACCATACTGGCGGTAACTGCACCTACAAATTTCATTTTTTTTTTTTTTTTTCGTTTTCTGTAGGAGCCAAGAATTTGTATATCATCTCTGTGAAGGGAATCAAGGGACGGCTGAACAGACTTCCTGCTGCTGGTGTGGGTGACATGGTGATGGCCACAGTTAAGAAAGGCAAACCAGAATTGAGAAAAAAGGGTGAGTAGGCATATGGAGCCAATGGACGATAGTCGGGAGTTCTCCCTATGCTGGAAAACAGGATGTCGGTTTTGTGCTCGTCCAAACCGCCAAATCACTTAACACTTTTGAGAGGCTGTTTGATCATTGTTTCTGCTCCTGCTGTTTTGTTTGTGTGTGGCGGGTTGTTTGTTAAGACATGCCTGGCTCCTTTGGTTTGGGGAGCGTCTTGTTGGTTCCCTAATTAGGTTCTCCCCTATAAGCTCGGGTCTGCTATTTGCCTCTCACCTGGCTAAGTTCATCAGACGCTAATAGACTGCTTGCTTTTAGGAGGAAGGAACTAGTTTGTTGTGGTCCAGGTTATGGATGCCCTTGGCAGTGCTGAATGGCTCTGTTTGACCTGTGGTTTTTTTGTTTGAACGTATGGAGGCAGGCACCTCTTTATGTCGCCTCCTGCATGTTCCCTTTTTTAGTAGACACTGAACAGGGAGCTGCTGGCTCATTATCAACCTTTAAACGTGTTTTTTTTTTTTTTTTTTTCCCGTCAGGTATGTGTATTTAAAAGAGGCGTCAGACCCACCCCTGGAGTGGTATGGCTGCAGAACCTTTTTATTGCACTTATCTTGAGAGACGTCCCACTGTAGGCCTGGCTGGCCCTGAGCTCGCCACCCGCCCACCTCAGCTTCCCAGGTGCCCTCTTCCAGAGAGGTTCTAGCAGTCCCCTGGTAGAGTTCAGGTGGTGGGTTGTGGTGTTGGCTTCCAGAAGCACCTTGCCTCCATCCTTCCACAAATGCTAGTGTACTTTTAGAACCCTCTCTGTTCCACTTGAGGGAGGGTGGTGTTGTGGCTGACCTCATCCTAAGTAACCTCATCTCAGAACACTTTCGGGGCCTGGTTGGTGGCTCAGGAAGCTGTCAGAGAAGAGAAGACTATGTCCCCCTTGCTATGTGGGTGTGGTGACAGCTGGATGTGCTGTTGCCTCCAGTGGTGGGGACATCTTTGGTTCCTTAGTCTTAGGAATTTCAAGTCAGTTTGCAAATGAGTATCGAGAGAGGCTTTGTGACTATTGGTTGCTTTTCTGATGTGTGGCTTTAAAGGTGTTTGAATCTGTCTTCAGGATTTCAGCCATGTTTCTGTGTAAAGGCCATACTTTGTTGTGAATATGCAGAAAAGCGGCCTTTAAACAGGTAGTTTCAGATGGTGAACTTAGTTCTGATTATACAGTAGGAGTGGGATCCAGCTTGGGTGGCACAGGACTTAGTTCTGGCTCTTCTGGAGACCCAGGCAGGAAGCTTCTGGGTAAATCCACATTTGGCCGGTTGTTCAAGATCTTGATCAGTCCCTAGCACAGAAAAGCAATTGTGGGTATGGAAGAGACCCCATCTTCCAGCTCTTAGACTGAAGATGGGTGGTGGTGTTTCGTCTGACTTCAGTAAGGCCCCAGGCTCCTCTAGTCTTGATTTTTCCCTGTGTTGATGGGCCATTCCCACACAGTGACCACTTTAGAGCAATTAGCAGGTGTTCATGTTCAGTGGTGGTGCCGGTTTCTAAAGTACCTGTACTATGAGCTGTTCTGGTTCTCAGTTTTGTTTTATTATGATGATATACACTGGGAGGCTCCTTAATGCAAATGCCACTTTTCCAGAGGTGGTTATGGACCACCAGGGCCAGGTCAAAGCTTAAACTTAAGTGGAACTACCTCTGAGTAACAGAATTCTGTCTAGAAGGATCACATGTTTCTGTATAGCACTGTACTGATGAGGGATCTTGCCCCAGTTAAAGAACAAAGACTAAAGAAAATAAATTCTCTCCTTAGTAAGGTGTGCTGTCAACGTGGTAGGCATTAATTGAAAAGTTGAGGGGTAATATCCATCGAACACTAGTAATGCATTTTTATTACATGTAGTTAATATTTGTAGGGCAAGCCCTAGCAACTGAGCTGTTGGGACTCTGACTTCTTTGGTTTTTGTTTTGTTTGTTTGTTTGAGACAGGGTTTCTTGGTGTCCTGGACCAGGCTGTCCTTGAACTTAGAGAGGCGAACCTGCCTCTGCCTCCCAGAGTAATGGGATTGCATTGCGCCCAGCTGTTGGACTCTGACTTCTAATCCTGTGGTCCTAGCTTGCTGGATAAGTGGGGTTGTGTAGCAAAGTTTATTTTTTGGATTATCTTTAGAAAGGAAATATATATATATATATATATATATATATATATATATATATATATCCCCCCACACACACAAAAAAAAGGCCATTTAAGGGGTAGTTCTCATTGATTCTTCTCCCTGCTGTTCCATGACGGAAACCCAATGGTGAGTGGACAGTCTGAGGCCTGGCTGTCTGCTTCCGTGCTGGTGCTAGGACAGCCAGTTACTAACTGCTGCCCCTTTCCTTTTCTCCTTAGTCCACCCAGCAGTGGTAATTCGACAACGAAAGTCATATCGAAGAAAAGATGGGGTGTTTCTTTACTTTGAAGATAATGCAGGGGTCATAGTAAACAATAAAGGCGAGATGAAAGGTAGGAAGCAGTTCAAACCACCCTTTGTATGTCTCTGGCGGGGTGGCTGTAGCAGCATGGACAAGGTGCCCTCTAACCTGTCTGCCTCTTCTATGCAGGTTCTGCTATTACAGGTCCTGTTGCAAAGGAGTGTGCAGACCTGTGGCCCAGGATTGCATCCAATGCAGGCAGCATTGCATGACTCCCGGTGTGTTTGTGAAATACATCCATTAAAAAGTCTTTGCTCCAAGAACTTGTCTTGACACACCTTCACCAATATCAGCTTTACAAAAGGAAGCTGCTAGATGGCAGCTCTGGGCATGACCTTGCCGAACATCATTTTTCAGTCTTAGGATTATTCTTGGGCTGGAGGTAGATAATCTATACAGACCTTGGGCCACATGGTGGCTGTAACTCTAGTGAAAAGAAATCCAATGCTGCCTTTCAGGCCGCTTCTGGGACCAGGCATACACATGGTTTACAGATACACATGCAAGCAAAAACCACTTGTGAATGTACAATAAATTCCATGTGTGATTTGAGTCCTAACATTCAGATGGTTTTGTGTGAGTGTCCTTCACATTGAGAATGGCCTTGAAGTAGGGTGAGTTAATGGGTAGAGCCTGGGTAACCCGGCAGTAGAGGAATGCTATGTGTAAAAGTCAGGTGTGTGTGGTTGGGTGTTAATCTTGCCTGCCTGGGTTCTTTGGGTAAAAGAGTGATGTCCACAGGATGATGGATGGAGGTATGAAAAGCAGTCCTTAAACTTGAAGGACATCTGCTCATGAGTAGTGTGTCTACTTGCTATATGTAATCATCTTTGGCTGGGCTTAAAATTCAACACTGAGTCAGCTTTCCAGCCCCAACTTTGAGCTCTGTCCACTACCTTACTGGTGCTGGAATACAGATCACACTCCTATCTACCACTGGCAAAAGTTTTCTAATGTGCAAGTTCAATCTTGTTTTGGTACCGGTTTCCCAGGCTGGCCTCTGCCTCCTGAATGCTAGGGTTAAAGGTGTGTGCCACCAAGCCCCCCTTAATCGGGCATTTTTAGACAAAAGTAACAGAAAAGTGCTTAGCTGTGTTTTGTTCCTGCAAAGGTATGTGTTTGAGCCAAGCACAGTTGCCCATGCCTGAAACAACCAAGATTACACACAAACCCTGTCTGGAAAAGTTAGAAGCCTCCCTGGATGAATTGGCCAAGTGAAAGCTGGGGAAAGAGTTGGCACATACCTGAAATCCTGACATGGGGGGGGTGGGAGGGAGTGTCAAACTTTTGAGGCTAGCCTAGGCTACCAAACAAGGTGAGAGAAACAAGGACCTGAGAGGGTTAGGGAAAGATGGTTTTGGGCTCTGCAACTAGGTCAGTTGGGAGGTAGGGGAAGGACAGTCTGGAATAGTGGAGGTTGGCCCTGATGCTAACCTTCCAAATACCAAGATAAGTGAACCCCATTATTTGAAGACCCTTAGAAAAGCTGTTAACTTTTGGGGGTGGGGGCACAGTTTAATTTGGTTTTTTGAAACGGGCTTTCTGTCCCTGGCTGGTGGAATTCTAGGAGCAGACTCTCCACCTGCTTCTGCTGGAATTAAGGGCCAACACCACCACTACCACCTCATCCAGTCCAACTCTGTCCCACCTGTACTCGCATATGAACTATTAGAATATAAAAATGTATGTGTGTGTCTAAACTGGGAGCAGAAGACTGCGGGTACAGTACAGTTTGATTCGGAGTGCTTGCCTGCTGTGCCCACGCTTTAGCCTTGGGTTAGATCGCAGCACCATGGCAAAATGGGCGTGGTGGGAACCCTGAAATGGTACGTAATAATGCTCAGTTTAGTCCCCCTCTGGTGCTCTTCCACCGGAAAGCCCTCAGGCTGTGGTGGTCGGAATGGCTCGCTGTTACGATAATACTCTGAGACTGGAAAAATGTTTTATTTTGGATGGGGTGGCTGTGAGCTCAGTGGCTCACGGCTACAGCATCGTGAGGCCCAAGCTGTGGTCGGCGATTCCGCCTTACAATTCTCAGCAGGACTACCACACTCGGCGGTACTTCCGGAGCCACGTGGTTCCGCCCCTTTTGCGGAAAACTGATCAGGTGCGTGTGGGAGCATCCCGGAGGACCCTGTGACTTCTAGCAGATAGCTCCGGGAGTTTAGCCCTCCAACCTTAATCCGGGCCTCGCCCTGCAAACCCTGCAGCGAGCTGGGCTCTTACTGAGGCCGTCACTCCGCGGCTATGTTAGTGCATTAGGGAGTAGAGCAGGGTGGCTGAGGTGTGGTGCTGCTGAGCTCACGCTTTCCCTTCCACCCAGAACCCCGTCTACAGTCTCATTTCTTGTTTCTGTGAAGGGAGTCTAGGACGTGAAGCTTCCCTCTTCAGACGAACAGGTCTCTTTGTCTTTGTGACGTCACAGGGCGCGCTTCATGGTGACCTCACAGCAGATCCTCAAAACCCACAGACACTACCAGTGAGCTCTGTGAACCAAACAAAGCGGGTTTGTCTTGGCCTGGCGCCTTGGTCTTCCTGTCCCCGTTGCAAGGTTGAAGCGGCCTAGCTCACGGCCTAGCACCTGTGAGCGCAAGGAAGGAAACTTGCCCAGTATCATAGATCCTCAGGCTGTTGGCTGACAGCTCCACTTTCTTCCAACACTTATTTACTTATCTGTTTATGTAATTATATTTTATTTTTTATTTTGATGGAGTCTCCCTGTCTCCCAGGCTGTCCTTGAAACTCTTAAGCATAAGTGATCCTCCTTCCAGTTGCTGGGAGTGGGGCTGAGGAAATAGCTTGCAAGGACAATACCTGCCTGACATGTATGAGGTCCTGACTTTAGTGCACCCCGTGCCATGCACTGGTTCCCCACAGAAAACAAAATCAGTGGCTGGGGACTTCAGCCCCACATCTCCAGCTCTGTGCCTTCCAACACCTTTGTCTTCAGTATCTGTGATTTCAGTGATGCGAAGGCAAAAAGGACCTACCAGGTTGCACTAGGAACAGTCTTGGGGATTTTTGTGGTACATAATGTTGTGCCTGTTCCCCGCCCCCCCCGCACACACACACACACAATCTGTCCCTTGTCACTTTTATACAGGAGCCAGAAGTGTGTATGTCTAAGAATGACAGTGTTTTTATTTTTTTGTTTTGGAGCCACAGTCTGGCTGTGTAGCCCAGGCTACTCTCCAACTTGAAGCAATCACTGTTTTCCTCTGAGTCCTGAGTGCTGGAACTACTGGCTTATGCCGTCTGACTTGAATTTACCTTTTTAAAATTTTTTGTTTTGTTTTGTTTTGTTTTGTTTTTTTGAGACAAGGTTTCTCTGTGCAGCTCTGCCTGTCCAGGAACTCACTAAGTAGACCAGGCTGGCCTCAAACTCAGAGGGCCTACCTCTCCCTCTCCATTGCTGGAATTAAAGGCATGCGCTGCAACCACACAGCTATATATATATTTTTTAAATCATCAAAATCACTATCTGTGTTTGGTACTTTTATTTGAATAAAGATGTGAGGAACAAAACAAGATAGTTGAGCAGGAGGAGGTAGGACATGCACTTGGGAGAGGTGACAGTGAGGGCAGGAGAGTCAGGAGTTCAAGGTCATCCTAAACTAAGTAGGTTTAAGCCTTCCTCTGAACTATTCAGAGTCTTGAGAAAAAATAGCCAACAACGTGTAACAAAACAACAAAATGTGTATCTTTAGCCTTTACTGTAGCAGGACTTTTATCTAAAGTCACGGGAAATCTCATGGCAGCTTTCTGGTTGGTTACTAATGAGAAAAACTGAGGTCAGAGAAGAGATGTAATTGGCCCATGATCACACAGCTTACTAGTAGCAGAGCTGCCATGAGGATCCAGCCTGTCTAGCAACAGAGCCAACAGAGCTCTTACCCCACAGTCCCCCTGCCTGTCCAGATCATTAATGTATTTAATCTGCCTTCCAGTTTCTTTAGGCTCTGACCTCTTCCCCTTCCCCAAGGAACCTCCAGGATGTTTGCGCCTCACGCAATGAGGCATCCAAACTGGCAATCTTTTTTTTTTTTCTTCTTCTTCTTTCTTCATTTTCAGGATCATGGCGGTACAGGAAGGGATGGCTGGATAGTAGACTATTTCCACATTTTTGGTCAAGGACAAAGATATCTCAACAGGAGAAACTGGGCAGGAGCAGGCAAGTGCTATCTCACTGTCCATCCTCATATGGTCCCACCATGGAGAAAGTGTGTATCCCAGAGCTTAGAGAGGCAGGGCTACAGAAAGGCCTGGTGGGGAAAAAAGGGTCAAGGACTGTATCCTTGGGCTAGAGCAATGGAGCAATGGCTCAGTATTTAAGAGCACTGCCTTTCCAGAGGTCCTGAGTTCAATTCCCAGCAACCTCATGATGGATCACAACCATCTTTAATATGATCTGACGCCCTCTTCTGGCATGTAGGTGAACACACAGCTAGAGCAATCACATATAAAAAAAAAAAAACCAAAAAACAAAAAAGACTATATCCTCCTGGCTTTTCCTCCCATACATGAGCAAATAGTGTTTGGTGCGCCTACTATTTACATATTGAACACCTACTATCTATCACTCTCTATCACTAACGCCTCAGCCTCATTTTATCCCTGTAGCACAGTTCATCTCCTAGGCATGATCTTAAACTGATTTACTGGGAAAGGCTGAGATGAAACTCCCCTGTCTACTCTAAAGCCTGTTGTTGCTTGCATGCTCGTGTGTGTGTGTGTGTGTGTGTGTGTGTGCACGCGTGCGCGCGCACACGCGCGCGACCCTCTACAGCTACTGTAGTTTCCTGAGCATGCTTAGTTTAGCAGCCATGGGGAAAGGAAGATTAACTTTTTCTGCGAGGACAGTCTTTCTTCCACCACCTTTTGGGCACATGATTACCACGAAGTCCTTTGGATCAAGTAATCAACTTGATCTCATCTTTTCTCCAGATGGGACAGAGGCAAGGGTTAAAATCCTTACATCTCCTGGGTGGGAGCCAAGTCCAGGCCCAGCATATACCACTCACAGTCCTCCTGTAAAACTCACCTGGGATAGGGTTTGGTTTCTAGGACATGTCTGTCTTCTTGAGCTCCCTGCCGCTGGGCTTGGCAGATGCAGTGACTCTCGGGGTTTAAGGGAGGGAGGCAAGAAGATGTCTGCAGGCTCAACCTCGCTCCTCTCCCCCAAGGGCATTCCCTCCAGCAGGTGGGTGGGCATGACTACTACAATTCCAACCCGAAGAAGATCACTACTGGTTTAAATGGGCGATTTGGCTACCGCCGGAACACCCCAGCCCTCCGCCAGCATACATCAGTGTTCGGAGAAATCACCCCATTCCCCATTTTCTGAAGATACTGCATCACGGGCCTTGAGCTGAATCTCCAAGAAAGATTTTTAAGTGAACTGTCATTGAAACAAAGATATATATTCTATATTTTAAAAAATTGCCTATGTGTCTCCAGGTGTGCTCTTTACTCTCTGGGGTGGGAGGAGGGAACTCTGATTCTACTACATGGGATGATGAGAAGGGCCCATCCTCCCTGGGCCCAGGGATTGAACCCATGGTCGAAGTGGACGGGAAACCAGGATTCTGCCACTGAGCTACCTCTGTAGCTAGCACTAGGTAGTACAAGCTCAGCAACTCAACAAAGCACTTTCCCGGGTACCGGTTGGCTTTTTGGTCAGAAGCTAGCCACTTTTTCCATCAAGAACAGGGAAGAGAGCTGTGTATGACACAGGGAATCCCGGTAGATTCCCAGGACCCACACGGTATGGAGGACACTGACGACCACAAACCGTCTTCTGAATTCCACATACTCTGTGGCATGCATATGGCCATGTACATGCTCAAACGCAACTGAAGTGTAATTTCAAATAGACGAAAAGAAAGTAAACCCAAATAACCAAATAATACAGTGGGGCCCTAGCATGGAGTGATGGCACACACTTGGAATCCCAGTTCTCAGGAGGTGGAAACAGGAAGTATGAAGCAAGCCTGGTTACATAATGGGTTCCTAACCAGCAAGGACTATAGAGAGACCCTGAATCAAGTCTCAAAAATAATAACCATTTCCCTGATATATTGTCATCTCCTGTTAAAAAACAAACAAACAAAACAAAAACCTGACATTAAGTGGGCCTAGGAGTTTGGGTCTATAATTCCAGCTAGCTGAGGCTGAGACAGAAGGATTGCATGTTTAAGGCTAGATAAGGCTACATTGGGCTATTGTTTAAAGGGGAAAAATAAAAATAGAAATACAGCTAAGCGGCAAGAGAGCTTAGCTAGCGTGTTGGAGGCCTCAAGATCAATTCTCACCCCTACGAAAACTGACATCATCCATCTCCTTTTACACATAATTCATTAGAGGGCAGGAGTGCACAAGGTGTCATCTAGGGTACTTATTAATCCCAGGATTCTCTAGTCATGATATTGGCTTCCTTTCCAGCCAGCTGTCATCCTTTTGTGTTCTCTCCCTGTTTCTTAGTGACCAAGAGAAAAACCAAAGCAGAAAATGTATGCTAAGGTGAGGCTGGAGAATACAAAGCTCCCCAGGGTGTTAGTGTGGGTGGAACCAGTTCAAAGTGAGTCACCATAAGTGGACAAGGAAGAGGACAGTGACAAAGTGAGGGGGTATAGCTCAGGGGTAGAGCAGTTGACTGCAGATCAAGAGGTCCCTGGTTCAAATCCGGGTGCCCCCTTCCATTCCTGTTTTTTTTTTTTTTTGTTTTGTTTTGTTTTGTTTGTTTGTTTCCATGAGTGGGAGTAAGAGCCAGTGGTCACTAGAAAGGACAAGGAACTTTTAGCCTGGTCTTTCGCCTGAGGAATGAGGCAATAAGCCTGCCTTCGGACAGGAATTTCAAGGCCCAAAATACTTGTTCCTCTCACATTTCAAGAGATCAATAAAGCAAAGTCAGTCACTACACTCCTCCTCTGGTGCTTCAGTCAATATAAAGTCCTGGGCCTGGGGACATAGCTCAGTGGTAGAGCACTGGCTTTACATGTGGGAAGTCCTAGTCCAAAGCTGGACCCTGAAAAGGAAGGAAGGCTGTTATACATATCTCCTCTCCTCCTCCTCCCCCCCTTCTTTTTTTTTCTTTCCCTTTCCTTCTTTTTCTTGTTTTCTTTTTCTCTCTTCTTTTTTCCTCCTTCTTGGTCTCAAAAAAAAAAGTCTCACTGTGTAGCCCTACTTGTCTTCCTGTCCTGAAATTTGCTATGTAGACTAGACTGGTCTCAAACTTAAAGAAATCCAACTGTCTTCTAAGTGTTGAGATTAAAGTTGTACAACAACAATTTTTTTTTAAAAAGATGTGTGTGTGTGTGTGGGAGAGAGAGAGAGAGAGAGAGAGAGAGAGAGAGATGTGCACAGGTGCCTGTGAAGGCAAGAAGAGGGCACTGGATCTTCTGAAACTGGAGTTACAGGAAGTTGTGAGCTGATCAAGCTATTTCTCCAGTCTTTTCTAGGTATTTCTAAAAAAGAAGCTTTATTTTCCCCCCAGAACTCCTGCTCAGATGTAGCTCATGGGCAGCTCAGTCTCCATGTGTGTTCCCTAGTAACACACAGGGAGCAGGGGCTGCTCTTTGATTACTTCCCCCTGGTGGGGCTTCCTTGCCACAGAGGAAGAGGATGCAGGCAGTCCAGATAAGACTTGATAGGCTAGAGTCAGAGGGCTCCCTCCCCATTTCTGTGGACTAGGGGAGGGGTATGGGGGGGGAAAAGGAGGAAGGGTGGGATGGGGAGGGGAAGAGGGAGGGGCCTACAATCAGGATATAAAGTGAATAACTTATATATAAAAAATTTAAAAATGAAACACAAAAAAGACACCGACCAATGGGTAAAGTAGAATGTCCTTAGGACTCATTTTATTGCTTTGTTTCTTTGGTAGTACAATAGTATTTTCTTTTCTCCTATATCCATGGACTATTTAGTCTCAGGTTCTTGGCCACCTGGGCAGTGTTGGGTTCCATCTCACGGAGTGGGCCTTAAATAAAAACAGATTAAAAAAAGAGTTTTCATTTCCATAACTTTTGTGCTACTATTCTCACACCAGCACATCATGCATACTGGTTACCATCATAGGTTTAAGAATAGTTTGTATGTGGATTATCATTTGCCTTTCTTCTGTGTGCAGAGTAGCTTCCAGTATTCATGGGTGATTTTTAAGCACTCTTAGGATTATAAAAGAATGCTATATAATGCTGTACGTACTGTAACTCTCATGATTATTTAAACTTCTTTTAAAATAATCAAAATGAAATAAAATTTGAAAAAAAATTTTTCTTTGGACATGTGGCTAGTTTTTAAAAATTCTTGAGGTAGGGAATTATGAGGCAGAGTTGGCTGCTTTCTAACTCCCAGAGATCTGCCTGCCTCTGCCTCCAGGGCACAGGGATTAAAGGCGTGCACCATCACACCTAACCAGACTTTTTATTTATCTACCACATCCAACTAGTCAAATTTTTAAAAAATGATTTTATGTGTATGTGTGCTTTGCATGTACGGCTGTACATCCTTTGTGTGGCTGGTGGTCAGGGAGGCCAGAAGAGGGTGTGTGATCTAGAACTGGAATTACAGATAATCATGAGCCACCAAGTGGGTGATGGGAATTGAACCGGAGTCCTCTGAAAGGGCTGCCAGTGTTCATAGCGGCTCCAGTTCTTTAATTTTAACAACTCAAAAGTGAAAACACAAACTTGGCCATACACACATATCCTTAATCCCAGCACTCTGGAGGCAGAGGCTGGTGGTACAGATCTTTGTGAGTTCAAGGCCAGCCTAGTCTACACTGTTTCCAGACAGTCAGGGTTTTACATTGGGAGATCCTGTCTCAAAAACAAAAAAAAAAAACCAATAATAAAATAAAAACAGAGTTTCCCAGACCAGAATGACCTCAGACTTTGTGCCAACGCCGGCCTCGAACGCCTGATCTTCCAGTTTCCCTCTCCCCAGCGCACAGATGCTGGGAGTGCGCCACATCTGACTTTCGGAGTTTTGTTCGATGGTGTCAATTTCTATACAACATGCCAGAAGTAAGGGAGCTGGCCGGGAGTCCGGTTTGGGAAGCTGGTTTGGAAACCCTGGTGCAGCGGTGCGCGAGGCAGGCGGCCTAAGGTTGGGAGATTCTGACTTCTTGCAGGATGGCGGTTCTACAACAGGGCCCTGACGCGTTGCCAAGGCAACAGAACTTCGCCTGTGGCTTTTCATCATTTAGGGACCTTGGAGGAGACGGTTGTGGGAAGCGAAAAATCCCAAGAGCGAGTAGAAACTACTAACCACTCTAGGGTCACGTGGACATAGGGCTACTCGAACGTCATCGCTCCGAGACGCCGACTCAGTGATGTGACGCCACTCCCGGAAGTGTGGTCTAGAGTGGGCGGAGAAAGGGGCAGCTGGTGCATTTTGGGATTAGGTCCTGTGAGGCCGTTTCTGAACTGTTTCGCTGCGTTTCCTCTCGGTCTTCGCGGAAACTTTCGGGTCCACAGACTGAAGAGAAGTCTCCACCGTCATGGGAGGCGGAGACCTGGTAAGTGTCGGAGGCCCGAGGCCCGCTGGCGCCGTGGATGGAAACTGGCACAGACGAGGTGGATCTCGGGGCTAGTAGCAGTTGGTAACCCTGAAGTCTTGTTTGCAGCACAGGGAGGTGGTAAACACAGAGACGGAACGCATGGTGAAGCGCACGGAAGGACTGGGATGAGCCTTGGGAAGATGTGCGGCGAGTGATGGCTGCTGAGTGTCTGTGTTTGCTGATTTGGGGGTCCTCCGGGCTGGGAAGTCCGAGGTCAGGGAGGGGGGACAGTTGGACTCATGGTATGGAAGGAGGCAGATCTTGAGCACATAGACTTTATTTTGTGTTTGTTATCTTGGGACATAGCAACCCCCCCCCCCCCTTGAAGTTTTCGAGACAGGGTTTCTCTGTGTAGCCTTGACTGTCCTGGAACTCACTCTGTAGACCAGGCTGGCCTCGAACTCAGAGATCCGCCTGCCTCTGCCTCCGAGCTGTTCTGGTATTAAAGGCGATTGCCACCGCCGCCCGGCCATAGCCCCGTTTTTTAGCTAGGAGTTCACAGTTGTATCCTGGACCTGGACTTGTCAAAGGGTGGGCCCCAATCTTCTCCGCTTCTGAGCTGTGCTATTTGGAGGAGCCCATCTTCGTTTCATTCCCTACATCAGTGCTTTGCTTTGATCCGTAGTGACAAGGCAGCTTTCTTCTATATATGTAACACTTTTTTTTTAGGCTAAGTGGCAATTTCTCTAAAGTTCTGTAGTTCATTTGTGGGGAAGCAATGCCTTCAATAAGGCAGAAGTATTCACGAAGCACGGAGCTGGATTGGGAAACTATTGATCTTCGAAAAGTGAAGCTAATTGAATCATAAACACATTAGTTTAGATATCTGAGGAGTAGGCTGAGTTTGCCAGGTATCCTTAATTTGAACCGGTATCCGGAGCTCCATCAGAGTTGGTCTAGTTTCATTTAGTTCTTCGTGTAACACTGCATTGGTTTGCTTCTCTGTTTTTGTTTGTTTTGTTTTTTGAGACAGAGTTTCTCTGTCTGGAACTCACTTTGTAGTAGACCAGGCTGGCCTTGAACTCAGGAGATCTGCTTGCCTCTGCCTCCCAAGTGCAGGGACTAAAGGCCTGCACCACCACCACCACCACCATCACCATCATCACCATCAGGCCGGCTTGCTTCTTTGTTTCTTCTTTGTAATAAAACCAGGATCAAAAGCAACTTTTGGAGGAGAAGGTTACATCTTACAGGTTAGAGTCCTGTCATTAAGGGAAGCCAAGCAGGAGCTCAAGTATGAACTGGGATGCAGGATTGTTGCTTACTGGCTTGCTTCTCTTTAGTCAGGTAGTTTAGTCAGCTACCTTGCTTATACAGTTCAGGCCCACCTACCCAGGGATGGTCCCACCCACCGTGGGCTGGGCCTTCCTACATCAATTATCAATCAAAAAAAAAAAAAAAAGAAAAAAGAAAATACACCCACAGACATTCCCACAGTCTGTTGGAGGCAGTTCCTCAATTGAGGTTGACAACCAATTCTAGTCATCCCTGCCAGGAAAGCCCTAACCTAGAAATTCTTAACCTCGGATGTCTTGGCAGTTTGGGTTAGATAATTCTTTGTGCCTGTGGTGGTGGGGATGTCCTGTAAATTGTATATTCAGCAGCCGCTAGCCACAAGATGCTGCTAGCACTCTCCCTCAGTTTTGACATCTAGAAACTTCTCCAGACACTGATTGCCGTTTGTGCCCTGGAACAGAAAGGAGAACCCATGTGGGACAAAGTCAGGGTGTATGTGTGGGCGGTGGCGAAGGGAGTCCTGACCAAAGGAAAGAATGTGGGAAGAGAGGAAGAATAAAATAACCTGGGATGGGGGGTGAAGGGAACCCCTGGGAAGTGAAGGGTGAGGAAGGAACATGGACAGTGCATGCCTTTAGTTCCAGCGCTTGGGAGGTGGAACCAGTAAGCTCTCAAGTTTGAGGGTCGCCCGAGCTAGGAAGCGAGGCCCTGGCTTGCATGTATGTGTACTCCCACTGTGTTTTCACGGACTGGGTGCTTTGCGTCTGCAAGGCACCTTGTGAGTTTTTATCTCATTTGGTCTCTCTCCTATGCATTCCTCACACGATGGCTGGTCATGCAGCTCGCCTGCCCCTCTGCAGTCCTTGCTTCCTGCCATCAACAGTGTGAAGTTCAGCCCCTCCACCTGCCCATAACGGATTTGATCTGCTGTCTTAGCCAGCTTTACCTTACACCTCCTTCTCCACGAGCTTGCACCCCACCTCCAGCCACAGTGAACTGTTTCTGCCATGTTTGTTCTCCCCCACTGGGACTGTACTTGTGAGGGCCATTTCCTCTTCCATTGCTTCCCACACCACTAGCTCTTTTACAGCTATCCTCAGATGCTGCTCTCTCAGGAAAAAAATTCCTGGGAAGGAAAGTTGAAAAGAGACCTAGATACTTTGTAAGCATGCAGGTTTAGGCTCAGAAGAGTCAAGTGGACCCAGTAAAGAGAACGGTGTTTGCTTAAGAGTGAATGTTTTGCCGCAGTGAACTGATTGCCCCTCAAAATAAGGTAACTTCCCCTTTGCCCCATTCCGTCTGTCTGCCCATTATCAACTCCCATTTTAGGCATGGCTAATGGAGTCTAAAGCTAAAACTGTTTGAAGGAAACCTTCAGAAAAGGCCTGTTCCATCCTCAAACTGTAACTAAAGACATTCCCCACAACCTCAGGCATGGCAGGCAAGTGCTCTATCATTGAGCCACACTCCCACCCTGCTCTCTCACCTTTACATGACCCCATATACTGGTTATGGAAGGCTGAGTGAGGCTGGGTGTGATGGTTAGCTCTGTTTACCTAACATAATCTAGAATCACCCGAAAAGAAGATCTTTTCAAAAAATGTTTTAAAGATTTCTTTATTTATTATGTGTGAGTGTTCTGTCTACATGTACACCTACAGGCCAGAAGAGGGCATCAGACCCCAGTATAGATGGTCATGAGCCACCCTGTGGTTGCTGGGAATTGAACTCAGAACCTCCGAAAGAGCAGCCAGTGCTCTTAACCGCTGAACTATCTCTCTGGTCCCTGAAAAGAGGAAGTTAATGAGACATTGTCTCCATTTGGTTGGCTGTGGTTATGTCTGTTGGGGAGTGTCCTAACTAATGAATGTGGGGAAAACCCCACCCACTGAGGGTAGCACCATTCCCTAGGTAAGGGACCTTGAATTGTATAACAGTGAAGAAGTCAAGTTGAGCAAAGCGAGCGAGCATGAGCATGTGAGCATTCACTATCTGTGCTTTTGACTGTGGGTGTAGTATGACCTGCTGTTTGAAGTTTTTTCCTTGAGTTCCTCACAATGATGGTCTGTAACCTGGAGTTAGAAGCCGAAAGAAATCCTCCGTCTCCACAACAGCAGAAGTGAAATTAGAATATAAGGTCAGTTAGGGTCATCACCTTCCACCTGCCACTCACTGAATCCTTTCCTCCCTCCTTTCATTTACGTAGAACCTGAAGAAGAGCTGGCACCCTCAGACCCTTCGCAATGTGGAGAAAGTGTGGAAGGCGGAACAGAAACATGAGGCGGAGCGGAAAAAGATCGAGGAGTTGCAGCGAGAGCTTCGAGAGGAGCGAGCTCGGGAAGAGATGCAGCGCTATGCTGAGGATGTGGGGGCCGTCAAGTAAGTGAGGAGCTGGGCGTGCGGGTGGGCAGGAGCTGCAGCGCTGGGTGTGTGTGCCTGACCCAGGTGCTGCAGAATGGTTAAGGGGTTTAAGCATGTAGATTTTGGAGCCTGGAGAACTTGATTCTAAGATTGGTTTTGCGTGCCCTGAGTTGTGTACCTGAGATAAGGTTTGGCAGTCTTGGATATCTCAGTAGGATCCAGGAAGTCATAGTACCCAAGTCTGTAAGTTTGTTTTGTTTTAATATATAAATGTGATTTTTGGGGGTAGGGGAAGATTTATTTGTTATCTATATCTGCCTACAGGCAAGAAGAGGGCACCAGATCTCATTATAGATGTTTGTAAGCCATTATAGGCGGTTGCTGGGAATTGAACTCAGGATCTCTGGAAGAACAACCATGCTTTTAACCTCTGAGGCATCTTTCCAGCCTGTCTATAAGGGTTGTTGAAGAACAGATGTGATAATGTGTAAACTAACTTGGTGTAGGCCATGTTCCCACTAGATGGTTGACAAGTAATCATAACTATGGCAAAGAATCATTGTCTTTATGCTGTCTGAGTCCTCTGTGAATGTTATGCAAGCTCATCTGTTGTAGGTGACGATTAATATTTACTATTGATATATCTTCTGGTAAAGCTTGCTGCTAATCCTAAACAGCTGTATAACCAAATCACCACACAGAGACTGGGTTTATTTAATTAACCTAGAACACAATGCTGGGCAATAGTTACTCCCTCTTAAACCTCCAAGCCCTCATAGTTTCCTAACATTTAGATTTTACCCATTCTACTTGCTTTTTGTGAAATCTTAGGTCTGGTTCATCATCACGTCATTCCAAGATCTGTTCTCCAGTCCTGCTCTCCTAGCTCTCTCCTGCCCTTTCTGTCCTCTGGCTCCTCCCTCTCTTACTGTTTCCTTTCTATTGTGCAACATTGTGGCTGGTTGCTTTATTTTGGCATGTTTACACAAAGTTGAGACAGGTGATGCTTAGAATAAGTATCACAATGCAATATCCGGATTGAAACCAGAGAATGGGGGTGGGGAGAAATCAGCATTTGAATGAACAACGGTAAGGTGTATACATTGCAAAAGAACATTATACCAACACTCATCTTGGGGGAAGTGGGGTTAATGTAAATAAATAGGGTATATATGAATAAAAACCTGTTGTTGCTATGAACAGTCTTGGTGAATTTTGCCTTTGGTCAGTTTCTTGTAAAATACAGGGTAATAGCCTGGCAGTGGTGGTGCATGACTTTAATCCCAGCACTCGGGAGACAGAGGCAGGTCCCTCTGAGTTCAAGGCCAGCCTGGTCTACAGAGTGAGTTCCGGGACAGCCAAAATTACATAGAGAGAAACTCTGTCTCAAAAAAACAAAAACACCATCAACAACGACAACAAAAAGCCCTGGGTAATAGTAGTAGATAATTACCCTGCTCATCTCATGAAATAACGGGGGTTAAATTTTGAGAAAATCAAAAGCACAAATGCGCTCTGAAGTGCATAGCACTGCAGACAGATTGCGTTAAAGTCATCCCTGTGTTCCCCTTGTCCGTGTTTCAGGGAAAGCCTTCTAGTAAGACCTGGCCCGTGGCCCCTGTGGGGTATGTGGGCTTTCCTTAATTTCGTAGCAGAGGAATTTTTTACATCCGTTTGTGTGTGTGAGAATTAGTTTATAGGTGGACACAGCATCATGGCATATGCGTAGGGAGAAAATCACGTTCTTTCAGGAAGTGGGTTGGGGGGGTTCTGATGGTTTATAGACATTCAAATGAAGTACCATGTATTTAGGAAATGGTGATGGTAACTGTTCATGGTAAAACTTGACAGACTCCAGAGGCAGCTGGAAGATGGGCCTCTGGGCACACCTGTGGGGAGCATCTTGATTCCGTTCCTCAAGGTGGGGAAGACCCCACTTGACTGTGGGACTGCCTGTGCTGCTGGTCCCAAAACGTGTAAGACTCAGCAAGCGGAGCACTTGGCCGTGGATGCAGTGTGACTGGCCGCTTCAGCTTCTGCCACCATATTTCACCAGGGTGGCCTGTGTCTTGAACTGTGAGCCAGAACAACCCTTTCTCCCTTAAGTTGCTTTTGTCATAACAAAAAGAAAATACAGCAGGCATTAATACAGAAATGGAGCTAGAAAATGAGTGATTTTTAAATTTTTATTTATTTTTGGGTTGGTGAGATGGTTCATTGGTCAAGAGAACTTGTGGCTCCTGCAGAGGACTGGGTTTGATTCTCATCACACACACTGTGGTTCAAAGCCATCTCTAATTACTTTGTAACTCCAGTTTCAGAACAGCTGACGCTCTTTTTTGGCCTTTGGGAGTACTGCACACACATGCAGACAAAACTGCTTTAAAAAAAAGATTTATTTATTTTATGCATGAGTGTTCTGTCTGCATGTACACCTGCACACCAGAAGAGAGCATCAGATTCCAATATAGATGGTTGTGAGTCACCATGTGGTTGCTGGGAATTACACTCAGGACCCCTGGGAGAGCAG